GCTCCGGCGGCGGCGGCGGTGAAGGAAATGGCCGGACCGGTGCCATTGCCCCGGCGGCACCGACCCCAATCCCGGTCCCGGCCCCGGTACAGCTACGAGGGCTTCGTGGAGAAGCGGGGGCCGAGGGACGAGGTGGGCACCCCCTGGGAACGAATCCCGGGACCCGACACCCGCATCCCCGGGATCGAGGCCAGGACACCCCAGGACCGAGCACCGGCACCCCGGGACTGACCACCGGCACCCTTGGGACCGAATCCCCCGTCCCCGGGACCGAGCCCCGGGACACCCCGGGACGGAGCCCCGCACCCCCGGGACCTCCCGGGACCGAACCCCAAAACCTCCTGGGACCCATCCCCTGGGACCGAATCCCCGGTCCCCGGGGCCGAGCCCCGGGACCCCCCAGGTCCGAGACCCGTACCCTTGGGACCGAGTCCCGGGACCGAGACCCGCACCCCCGGGACCGAGCCCCGCACCCTCGGGCACCCCCGGGACCGAACCCCAGCACCCCCTGGGACCCACCCCCTGGGACCGAGCCCCGGGACCCCCCGGGACCGACCCGGGCACCCCCGGGACCGAACCCCAACACTCCCTGGGACCCACCCCCTGGGACCGAATGCCCGGTCCCCGGGTCCGATCTCCGGGACTCCCCGGGACCGACACCTGTGCCCTTGGGACCGAGTCCCGGGACCGAAACCCGCACCCCGGGACCGAGAACCGCACCCCTGGGACCCACCCCCTGGGACCGAATGCCCGGTCCCGAGCCCCGGGACCCCCCAGGACCGAGACCCGCACCCCCGGGACCTCCCGGGACCGAACCCCAACACCCCCTGGGTCCCACCCCCTGGCACCGAATGCCCGGTCCCCGGGACCGAGCCCCGGGACCCCCGGGACCGATCCGGGCACCCCCAGGGACTGACCCCCCCCTCCGCCACCCGGGGCCGCGCCGGTGCGTCCCCGCGGAGCCCGATTTGCCGGTCCCGGTGCTCTCCCCCCCACCCCGCCCCAGCCCCCGGTGCCCGGTGGCGGAGCTGATCCCCGTCC